CAAAGGAGAGAATATGTGTTATAATATAAGTATGTATTAGAACTTTATAAATAAAATTGTAATACTTTGAATTTCAAAGTCTCAAAGCTTATTTCAGCCAGGCATCCAGACGGCGTCATCATCATCATCATCAGCCTATCGCAGTCCACTGCTGGACATAGGCCTCTCCCATTGCACGCCACTTAGATCGATTTTGGGCTTCTCGCATCCAGCTCCTGCCAGCCATCTTGCGCAAATCGTCACCAGACGGCGTAATTTAAAGCAAATTTCAGATGATATTCATAGAAAGTATACGGATAGCGGAATCTTGAATACTGATGTAACTGAATTATATTTTCTAGAGCTTGTAACAATAATGTATTAAGTTTTGTACTCTTATTCCTTAGACAATCGACCGATCGATCGACATCGTGATTGTGAGTGATTCTCTGAACGTAATTTGTTTATTTATTTATTGGATAGCCAGTAGTTGTTACATCTATACAAATAAATAAAATTGGAGTGTATGTTTGTAATATTAAAATAACCGCTTTTTACTAAATGCATATGTATGTTTACACGGTACATATGCCAAAATATCATTTTTTACAATTTTTGTCTGTCTGTTTGTTTCGGGTAATCTCTGGAACGCCTAGACCGATTTCGACGGGACTTTCACTGGCAGATAGCTGATGACATAAGGAGTAACTTAGACTACCTTTTTAGACTAGCTTCGCCCCGCGGCGTTGCCCGCGGTTATAACAAAAAACGCGGGTAACACCGCGGGTCTCAACTAGTAATTTACTAAAATCTAAAGCATGCATCTATTATATTAAGATTAATGCACAACATTTTAAGTCGTCACAACATGCAAAATAGAGGATCACTACTATGTAAAACTGAAAATAGAAAAAACACCTGTATGATTTTAACACTTAATTGAACAAATATAAAACAAAGAATAAATAATATATAAAAGAAACAATTAACAAGCTTATAACTATTATATGATTTTTATTTTAACTACCTAAGAGACCACTTGAATCATTTGCTATATATAATAAAATAAGTACTTGACGGGGGTATATACGTCGAATTAGTAAGAAGAAACAAACTTGGCTAAAAAAACGAAAGATTTTTATACTTCCTAAGTCTTTTTGAAGACGAATCCGTAGCAGGACGCTTCATTTCTTGATAAAATTTCTTTGTAAATTTCAATTAACAAATTATTAAAAAAGTTTAATTAGTTCCAAGTTTCTTCGCAAATAAAATTGAAGTGTCTGTTTATAATGTCAAAATGATAGGGTTTTTTCATGCTTACACGGTTATTTGCACGATACCTATGCCTAAAAACCAGTTTAAATATTTTTTGTCTGTCTGTTTGTTCCGGGTAATCTTCAAAACAGCTGGACCGATTTTGATAATATTTTACAAGTAGCTGTCTATATAAGGAGTAACTTGGGCTATTTTTTCTCTCAGAAAAGCCCTATAAAATTTCGCCTGGTCCGGGAATCGAACTCACTAAGGCAGCGCTTTTCAAATTCCACGCAAACGAAGTCGCGGGCACCAGCTAGTCTTCAATATTAGTCATGAGTCCAATTAATTTGATGTTATTTGAAGGTGACATACTAGAAATAGGTTAATTACATTAGCTTTAAGTGATAAGCTAAAACCCTTTGGGACGTATACATTATACGTATATAACAAAATACGAAAAAAATGTAACAATGAAAAAATTAAATGGCCAATTTTCTAGTATCACACACACTGTAGAAAGAGATAGACATATTTAATTGATTTTCTATCCCTGTTAAAGCATACATAGGTATGCTTTATCCATTTGGGTTAGTTGTTAGGCTTGTGTCTTCACTGTGTTCAGTAGCAAGTCAGTCAGGCCTTGTCTTTTTAGAGCATAGGCATACATCGTGTATCCATAGTAGGTACCCACATAATCTTCTGAGTACTAATTTTAGAATATTAATATGCATTCGCTTATTGCCAGTCAATCAACAGACTTTAATAGTCCACTGGTAGACATAAACCTCTCCTTAGAAAGGAGGTTTTGGCCTACTATATACCACGCTGGCCAGACGGGTTGGTATAGGATTTTTGTCAAGTTTTCCTTCTCTGCAGTGCTGTTGACCTGCGTAGTTTTCTCCCTTAATCGACTTTTACGACACCCACGGGATGAATCCGTCACCACACGAGAACAATACATACTTAATAAGTATATATTTTACAATATAAATATGTACCTACCCTATACTATTTATTTTCAGGGAAAATTTAGGCCAAAATAGCATTAGGTACTTGTTAGCGACAAAAATCAATCCTAAGTAGACGATAAATGAGGGCCTTGCCTATGTAAGTAGTAGTATCCAGAGATTGTTATCATGGCTGACAATGTAAACACACTTATATGATAGACGATGTATGTATATACTCTTGAAACATACATTGTACCTATGATTTGTACGTTAGGCTGAAGAAAACATAGGAATAGCCTTAGTAGGTAAACGTTCCGTTGAGCCTTATAATGGATATTATCTTTTGTTAATACGTAAGAACATGTAGTGACGTTTCCTTTGTGACGTAAACAGCATGTTTGCATACTTATCTGGCAATGAGACGACGACGACAACAACAACGACGACCGACCAATGAGACTACTAAATTCTATGTTTTGCATGTATACACATTCAGATTAAGATGCTAAGGAATTCGAACTGCGTTTCTACTCTATGTAGATATACCTACCTAACATGCAAGGTATATACAACAAAGTTTTGTAAATTCGACGAAGGCTGATTGATTAAGAACACGCAACAGCAGTACTCTAACCCTATGATAATGGGCAGTGCATTTCATAATGTAGAGTAGGTACCTTATTTATCAAAGAGCTCTAAATAACAACCCCCAGGGTAGTTTAATTAAATTTTTATTGTAACAGGCTACGTTTCACAGTAATTTATTCACTTTTGTAATACAAAATGTAAACATATTAGTGGATGTGGTGAAGTAGATAACATGTCAAATCGTCATTTTTATAACTGACGGCAAACTGAAATCAGTCTAAATCCACCACATCCCGTTGGTTAGAACTGTCCATTTTGTCCAATACCTACTGTAATCTAATTCACACCAAAGTAAAATGAATGTATTTACCCGCACTACCGCACTAGCATTGTTTACCCGTGACATCGCTTGTTTATAGTAGCATTTCAGATATGATCTATTTAAATTTATTTGTGCCAAATTTCATGCAGATCCATTCAGCAATTCTGGCGTGATTTATGAGTAACAAACATATATACATCCTTCCACGTATACAGTACTTATGGAATATAGTTTAATAAATAAATTCAATGTGACTCATCATTTTTTATTTGTCCCAAAATCATATATTGCATATATTATGTCATCAACACCTTCCGACGCTTCGTCAAATTTGGGGCTAGCTGGGGCCCGCGACTTCTTTCGGATGGAATTTGAAAAGCGCTGGCTTAGCGGGTTCGATCCCGGACCGGACAAAATTTTATAGGGTTTTTCTTAGAGAAAAAAAAGTTACTCTTTATATAGACGTGGCAGTAAAATATTATCAAAATCCCAGAAGATTACCCGGAACAGACCGACCGACAAAAAATGTTTAAACTGGTTTTTAGACATAGGTATCGTATACATAACATTGAACGTGAGATCATGAAAAAAACCTATTATTTTGACATTACAAACAGATACTTAAATTTTATGTAATTGTATATAGTATGTTTTATTTGGGATCAGCAATACTAAACATAAACAGGAGTTTAGCTTGTCTTTTTAAAGGCAGGTTGCTTGTCTGACGATAACTATACTTGGGAATGTAACGGTTTTCAAGTACAACGAAGGAAGAAGATAAACTAGTGTAAAGAACAAGGAAGAGGGAACTAAAATAAAAGATAGTGCAAGTATCACAACAGCAACTGAGATTAATGTATCTCGAATTACGAGGCATCCCGTGCCCGTATGAGAAAGAGAAGAGAAATCAAATTATCAACAGCTTTTAATAGTCCACTGCTAGATATAGGCCTCTCCTTAGAAATGAAATTTTGGCTTACTATACCACGCTGGCCAGACGGGTTGGTATAGGGTTTGTGGGTATCCGCCCTGAGTGTGGCCGCGGGTGGACGGGGTGGGTTTCCCCTCCACCCGCATTAGTTGGCCAGCCGCGAGGGGGCGGCGTCCGCGTGTGCCGGACGTCGCCTAAAGAGAGGAACATCTACATCGAGACGGAGCCCGCACCAGGAGCGGGCTGGCGCTAGGAGGGGTCCGGATGTCTTAACAACAGCTGTTCCCGGATCCCTCCTGTTACAGGCGCAGAGTGGCACACCGTGTGGTTTTAGTCGGTCCGAGTCCGACACACCACCCCGCCGCAAACCCCGGAGGGGTGACGGTCCGAGGGGATTTCCACACGTTAAAAAAAAAAAAAAAAAAAAAAAAGGGTTTGTGGGTATGGATTTTCCTTCACTCTGCAGTGCTGTTGTCCTGCGTAGTTTGCACCCTTAGTCGCCTCTTACGACACCCTCGGCATGAATAGGAGTGGTGACACTCTGTATTCTCAATATGTCACCACAAGGACGGAGAAATTAAATAGCTTGCAAAATTAACTTGGACATTGGAATGTTTAAAGCGGGGATGTTGCTTCTGAAGTCTCAAGGTAAAGTCAATTGACTTTAAAAAATTCAGAATAAAAAAGGTCAAGAACAAAAAAGATATACCTTGATTCAAGACAATACTTGGATAGCTTATCTACCGAATAGCGAATCTAATAGCGAAACTTTATTGATGACAATATCAACAAACGAGATGATATAAAAGATTATTCTAAACAAAATAGCACTAAAAGAATAAATTATCTTACTCATACTTTCAAAATCAGTGATTTGATTCGTTTAGTCATTCTATATTTTCTTAAAATTCTTACATAGAGCGATAGAACATGTCAGAAAAGTACTGAAAGGAATTTTGTAGTATACACATACCTTTCCATATAAAGTTTTAAACTCAAAAGCGATCCGCAGACGTTGCTCATTCGTGCGTCTTGAAAGCACATGGATGATGGCCTTTTCGTCTGTGCCAAAGCCCTTCATTGCCTTGCGGAGAACTGCAGCATCCTCGCGTGGATCGAACGGGTTGGCGGGTACTACAGTAGGTTTCGACTGGAAAAAATCCTTATGGTTATTGGTCATGGAAGTGTTTAATTGAGTGTGACATGACAGTTGTGTGGCTAAATATTTCACGATGCTATTAATGAAATTTGATGTTTTGAAACGTTAATCATTGAGATGTTTTTAGTATGAATCTAATAAATTGAATTCAAGAAAATTGGATCACATTGATTACTACGTCCTGAATGTTTGTGTTTAATATGTGAATTTGAAATTATTACCAAATTCTACGTGTCTTTTAAATTAATATTTACGACGCTATAAAAGTTTGATGGTACTTAGTGCGTGTTTAGTAGAAGTATTAAGCGAGAAAGTGTTAAAACTAAATACCAAATAGGCAAAAACTGTCACAGCTTACCGGTGTTAATGGAGAAGTTAATGAAATAAAATTGAGATACGTATTTGAAATAAATAATTTGTAGAACTAAAATTCAAGTTACCAGCGAGCCAGCACTATATTATTCTTTAACTATCGTCAGTCAGCCCCTATTAATCTCTAGATCAACATCTATAACCGTGCTTAAATGTGTACAATAGCAGTTTAGAGCTTGTTAACTCCAGGTATACGTTTGCTCGATTGGCTTTTAAATGCATGACACAATTGGAACAAATTCGTAGCGTCGAGGGAACACATAAAAGAAAATAAATACCGTATAACGAAACGATTTGAATCCTCGTCGTACACCAATTGAAGGTCTATAGGCACTGCGCATACTTGAATTAGACGTTACAGAGGACATTTTAATTATACGATAATCTTCAAAAAAACGGAAACAAGTTAACACAGTCACATCACTATATCACCATAACACTGGTTTTAATGTGGTGCAGAGGTGAGAACAAAGGCGTATTTGGAGATCACTACATCCATTGTAGCGGGGACCAATGCCAAGACTGAATTGTTGCTTGCTTTGATATATGTACGGAGAGGCGAAGTGAGCATAACGATGTAATTGCCGCAAAATGTTCCTTGAATAGAGTTCTAGCGGGAGGTAGATACGACACCAGTCGCTTGTGGTAAATTCGCTGTCGTGTTGGGACAAATTTTAACGGAAGACATTATTATTGCATTGTGCCCAATTATCATTCGTTCACAAATCGATTATGTTAAACAAAAAATATATTAATTCCCTTATTTTGTCAATTCCTTAAAACACAGCAGTGTATCAAACTGTTTTCGTTTCAATTTTATATCTATATATGTATTTATCTATTTAATACATAAATAGATAAATACATGTATTTATATGTATTTATCTATTTAATACATAAATAGATAAATACATATGGAGAATCTTAGATACATGTTAACTTAAAAAAAGGTGCTAAATTATTTATTTTATTTGTCCATCTTTACACTTTAAGAACAATTTGAATGCATTTATGAGTTAGACATGGAAATGAAGTGTGATAGTCTAGAAACTTTGTAGTTTGTCCTCAACAAACAATTCTTTTCATGAGAAAGTTGTTTTTGTGTTTCTAATAAACAAGAAAGTTCATTAGAAGCCCGAAAAACTGCCTACTAAGAGGCATAGGCTTGGATGGAAGCTGTTAACATTATAAGCAGCACAGTTCATCTATGCCATTTGTTAGTGGTTGCTTTTCTAATGGTTAAGGCATCGTACTAGTGATCAAATGCGGCAGCTGTGGTTAGTTAACAAAACACCACACAGAAATACATTACTTACACATGCATGCAAAAAAGAGCACAAATAAACTGATATATTTAACACACAAAGGGCCACATTTGTGAAATCAGTTCTGATTGGTTAATTGCAAAGCAGCTAAGTGCAAGCTTTAACTAAACTTATAACTCAGCATGCAAATTAAAATAACCATGCAAGTTTTGTTCTGTTTATCACAATGAAATAGCTTGATAGTGTTAGCACATTTATGAAGAGATTAAAAAAAATGGAATGACTTATAAATTATTTTTAGATGGCAATTTGGCTAAAATTACTATTTGTAGTAATGGGTTTCAGTGTATTCATAGCGATGAGCTTTAACTTGGCCTTCGATGATCAAATTTAAACCTCTCAGTAAAAAAAAAGAGAAACCAGCATATTTTTCTACATTAATATCCTATTAGTTTTGTAAATAATTTAAAATAACAGTGCAAAATCAATTTATCATTTTGAAGTAAAAGGCTTACCAACAAACAGCATTTCATCTTTATTTAAATAGAAAACAGTTTTCTCACATCTTCTTTAAAAAGCAGATACACAATGATTTTATCTTCTATTTTTTTTCCAACAAGATTAAAGACAGTCTGTTATTTAAACATTTTAAATGTAAGACACAAGGTTTATATAAATTTTGTGTTGTAGTATACTAAAAAGTATTTGTGAGTAATGATTAGACAGTTGCCAAGTTAAGAAAGCTGTTCAACGTACCTTCGGTGTTTCAGACACCGATCCGGTCACACTGTAAGCTTGCTGACTATGCATATGTGACTGACTATGCGGCAGATGCCCTTGGTATTGGTTAGTTGGTTGCTGACTGGCTTGCGGGTAACCAGGCTGTGTGTGTTGTGGATACCCTGTTTGAGCAGGGGGAAAACCCCTTTGAGCAGAGGGGTATCCAGTTTGAGCAGAGGGATACCCTGTTTGAGCAGATTGTGGATACCCAGGCTGTGAGTAGCCCTGGGAAGGTCTGTGAGCACTATTTGCTTGAGGATAACCCTGATTAGTTTGGTGACTTGGAAATCCTGTACTTTGTTGGGGATAACCTTGAGGTACCTGAGGGTATCCCGGTGCTCCACCTTGTGCTGGTGGATATCCCATTGTTGGGAAGCCGGGCATTGGCGTTGGATTCCCAAAAGATTGTGGGGCTGTGTTGGTAAATCCGATATTATGATAGTATGGCTGTTGCGGGTATCCTGATTGGCCCTTGAACGAAATGAAAACGAATATCAATATATCTTTTTGAATCGCAAAAATTTTCATTTTGTTCTTAATAACATTTTAAAGGTACAACTTAGTAATTCAAGTAAAAATTAAAAGAAAGTTAATATGTACCTACAGCCTACCTTATTTCATTTCTTGTGTATGTATAATAACAACTACTAACATTAAATCATATTAAGATAAATTTATTTTAATTTTACATAAGCAATTCTTAAAACCCTTGAAAAAGAAATGCTAGGAGAAAGTGGTGGGATGATATTTAAATAATTTTTCACACGTAAGCATTATTACTTGAATGAACAGAGACCGGCGTTCATTCAAAGTACATCCAAACTGTAAGTAGCTCACGCTGTAACTTCTAATAGACCAAGCTTATTGTGATAAACAAAACAGGGACTTTTTAAACGCACTTTCACTTGTCAACATTTTAAAATTAATATATATTTACAGTATATTAATAAGTACGAAAATTTTAACTAAATAAAACTAGGTTTCACACTCACTTGCTGATAGGGATTCATTTTTAAGTGTTTAGCTCCGTAAAACTTTTTTCACACTGAGGTGTTCCTCTTAATAAATACTAGTTATAGTTTATGACAAACAATACAAGCTCGTTTGATGAGTAATAATTCGTATTGCACCACAAGCAGTAAACGTAAGCACACAGACTTCTGTAAGTACTCTATGTCTGGGACTAGGGATATTCCGATACTAATAAATACGAGTAGGTACTCGATACTTTTGATTCGATACCAAGTATTTATTGTATCGAATCAATTTTGCGATACATAATCGGTATCGAAACAAAAATACTTGGTATCGAATCGAATCAGCAAAACAACCGAATACAATAAAAAAAACCGAGAACGCATCATACAGAACTAAGAGAGCAAAAACGAGGCAAAAACAGTCAGCTAATCAGGTTACCGAGTTACCGGTATTCGTCGCGTGGCGGCGTGAGTGACGCGTTGTCTCGCGCTGGGCTAGCCGAATTCGTCCGACTTCAGCCGAGCCCGCCCGAGCCGAAAGCGAGAGAAGAAAACACCCGCACCCGCTCGCAAATCATCTCGCCATTCCGCCATTGTGAAAGTGTTAAGTGATTGCTTACAAGTAATTTTATTAATTGTAATCATCAAATTCATCGGTTTATTCCAATGTTATCATGGCACCACCAAAATCTATAATATGGACACATTTTACCAAAACAAACGAAACAATTGCAAAATGTAAACAGTGTTTTAAGTCTGTGAAGTATTGTGGGAATACGTCGAATTTATTCAAGCATTCTAAAACTCATGGAATTTCTGTGGACAAAGGCAAATTACAGAAAAAAGAAAATAATAAGTCCAACGAAAGGTAGGATTCTAAACTTTTCTTTTTTTTTGCGATTGCTTTCCTAAGATGTTAAATAAAAAATCCTACCTACTCCTACCTATTTTATTTGTATAAAAAATAGTTTTGCAGCAGTGGTACTGTGATTGTCTTGTCTATATATTAATAATATATGAATAATAATTGATGACCGGTGATGAGATATTTCCTTTGTATAAATACGATTTAAACAATTTAAGGTTATGTGTTTGTTTTTGTTAGTGTAATAGTGTTGTTAAATGGCGGTAGTGTTGGAGTTGGTATTATCGATACTTTGAAGATTATCGATCTATCAAGTGTTAATTTTTGTTATTATGTTTCAGTTCAAAAAATACAATAGTGTTGGCCAACTCAAGGCATTTAATGGAAGATGATCAACCCCAAGCATCAACATCGAAAATTTCAGAAGATCGTGATGATTGCTCTAGTGTAACCACATTAACAAGTATGGACTCGGAGACTGCAAGGGAGCTATGTCTGAGCAATTCAATAAAGAATGCGTTTGAACGAATTTCATCTAATAAAGGTAAATAAATAGATATTTAATTAAATATTAGCAAAATAATATTAATACATATAGTATTAGTGTTAAAGAAAAAAATATAAATATTTAATTTAATATTACATGTATTAACATTGAGTTTTATTTTTAGCTGGTGGTACGAAGTATAACAGAATTGTTCAAGCATTGATATTTTTTATCTGTCAAGATATGCGTCCATTTAATATAGTTGAAGGTGAAGGCTTTTTACGACTTGTAAAAGAACTGGAGCCTACTTTTAAAGTTCCTGGCGCAAAGTATTAAAGAAAATGACTACCGAAAAGTACGAAGCTTGTATAACTATTTGTAAGTCCAAATTATCCAAGATAGACAATTTCTGTTTAACGCTGGACATATGGACAGAGACAATGAATGAAGTAGGATTCATGGGCGTCACCATACATTTTGTAGAAAATGGTCAAATGTGTATGTATTATCTTGCAACTCGTGCATTAAGAGAGCGACATACAGCTGAATACATATCGGAAAACCTGCTGGATATTTTGAAAAAATGGAATATTCCACTTACCAAAATTCGTGCTGCTGTATCAGATAATGCCAGTTCAATGTTGGCTGCCATACGAATGTCTTTAGGCGAAAAAAAACATTTACCGTGTTTTGCCCATACTATTAACCTTGTAGTTGAAGAGGCACTAAAGTTGCCCAGTGTTAAATCAGCTGTTATAAAAGTACGAGAAATTGTTAATTGGATAAAAAATAGTGTTGTGCAGTCGGATAAGCTACGAAAAATCCAAATGCGTAATAATGTTTCGGCAGGATCAGTTTTAAAACTTATTGCAGATGTAAGAACTAGGTGGAACTCAACTTTTTTTATGTTAGAGCGATTTCTAAAGTTAAGAATAGTAATATCAGAAATTGTAATTGAGAGTGTAGTGGCTCCAAATTTGCCAAGTGCAGTGGAAATGGAAACCTTGAATGAGCTTACAACTGTATTAAAGCCTTTTGAATATGTAACAAGAGAATCATCGGGCCAAAAGTATGTAACAATCTCCAAAATTATACCAATGCTTAATTGCTTAACTACAGAACTGAATAGTATCACTCCAAACTCCGCTATCGTTAAAGAATGTAAGGATGTTTTATTGAGAGAGCTGAAAAGGAGGTATGGGATGATTGAATTAAACGATCATGCAGCCATTGCAACAATTCTAGACCCAAGGTTTAAAAATCTGCATTTCCAAGACCCCTCTGCATGCGGAAGAGCTATTCAAAAACTTAGAACCATGGTTGTCGGACAACTAAGTAGCCCAAGTGAGTCAGAAGATGATGTCTCATCTACTGCACCACCTGAATAACGATTTTGGAAACATCATAAAGAGTTAGCACATGGGCACAAGAAGAAAAAAAAATCTCATCAGGGAGATGAAGTTTCTCTTTATTTATCAAATCCAGTAGTTTCTCTTAAAAGCAACCCATTTGCAGAATGGGATGACATGAAGTTGGTGTTTCCTTGTCTGTACAAGTATGCACAGCAATATTTAATTGTTGTTGCAACATCAGTTCCTAGCGAGTGCCTTTTTTCCAAAGCCGGTGCAACAATGACACAAACAAGAAACAGATTGTCTTCTAAATGCCTTGAACAGTTACTGTTTTTGGGCAATCTTAATGCTGAAAAGTTTTTTGTTTAAATTATAATAAGCCTAATAAACATTTATAATAAATAAATAGTTTTTTTCGTCTCAATTTTGTTTAAATTATTATCCTTCAACGTTCATTGATAGCACCCACAAATTAATAAAATAAAAGTTCCAAAAAGTATCGATATCAGTAAGTATCGATACTTGAGGAGTACTTATTTGTGTAGTATCGAAAAAAGATTTGAGTATTATCGAAATGAGTAAGTATCGATACTTAGGTGGTATCGGAAAATCCCTATCTGGGACACAAAGTCACAAACTGAATTGAAAATGTGATTATTGTGATGACGTGATCTCCAAGTGTTGCCACATGTGTCAGAAAGGAAAATAGTAGATTATCCACAAAATAACGTCTTATCCCAGAACAGCTTTTAACTGAGCCATACTCATAATATAAAACTTAAGCTCCTTTTTACTTTAATCAATTACCAAATAAACAATTTTATTAATCATCAGATGTTTTGGTAGTTTTTAAAAATGTTTAAGAAAGAAATGTCAGTGGGCACAGTGCACCGACCTCTTTAGTGCACATGTAAAATAGAGGTCAGTGGTATTGTATGGATGTTATGTACAGCGCCTTACTGTGGGTAGGTAAAATTAGATTTTATAAAAGTTGTGTTTGTTGATACTGTTTAACTGTAAACTTAATGTTAAGCTGCGTCAACTAAAATAACTAAGAAGAATGTACCTGGGCCAGAAAAGGAGGGTTTTCTCAAAAAATAATCCATTCCTTTAACCTTTTTTTTTGAGAATTTTATTTTATTAAAACTAAAATGCAACAACTGAGACCGTGAATTATTTTGTAATTTGCTGTTAAAGCTGCTGAAACTGATTATGAATTTTCCTCGACTTTTTACGAAGAAATGTATATTATCAAAGTAGATAATAAATATATGACCTGATGCCAGCTACGAGAAATGAGCACAATGGGAAAAATACAATATATTATAGCTAGTGCCTAAAAAAAATTAGACGGCAACTACAATTTCACGGTGTATAGTTAACAAAATATTCGGTCTTTACATATGAAGTTGGAGATTTGTATGAAAATTTTAAAATATAATAAAAATCAAAGTACTGGCCCAAACTATCTATACAATTTTACCATTATGATTGAAGTTTATTTATCCCTTCACTGTAGAAGTCTGGTGGACACGAGGCGATGAAGGTCCGGTGAATGCGGTGGGTGACGGGAAACTTCCAGCTGTAATTCTTGTAACATTGCGATGGTCTGTCGTGAGGTGTGAGGTCGGGGTTTATCGTGGAGAAGCAATGGAAAAACGCTATTAACGAGTCTTGGAAATTGCGAGATTCTCTATCATTGTTTACAGTTCTTGGGAATAGACATCTGCCGTTACTGTTGTGCCATTCGGTAAGAAGCCATGATAGATAAGTCCAGTACTGGGCCACCATCACCATCATCTTCCCATGCGTAACATCACAATGAACAGTGGTAAAGTATGTGATGAGTGGGATAAACAGTGGATCGTGACGTACAAGATCCACTGTTCATAGCAGGTAACAATTCCATTCAGAATTCCCTCGTTTCTATACCAATTCTAGCAAGAGTGTCATCGTTATGTCCTTGTTGGTATTCAATCGTTAATCGTATCGTCGATTTTTTGTTCACGTTTATTTACGTCTAAAATCTTTATGCTCACACTCCGAAGGGTCTTCTAATAAGGTGTATAAAGTTAAATAAATATATATTTTCAAGATATATTTGCTTAGTTGCAGCAATAAGTGTAGTAAACCGATCTACTTAAATTATTTTACCACTTGCAACCACTTTTAATATAGTAGACAAATTGTAAATTAAATCGATTTTAATTCCAGTTGTAGAATTACTTAAAGGCATTGAGTTAAAACAACACTATAGTACGAGAGCTAGCAACGTTTGGAAAGTAAGAATTTTAGGTCAGCTGATTTTGTGATATGTCGTCCTTCTTGCACTTTCGGTTAGACTCTGGGCTATCTGGCTGGCGGTAGCGGTTGCGTTCATTAGTGCGCATCCTACCTGTCCAGGTAATAATCCTGTATTTTAAAAACATTTTAGAAGACGTAATTTTAATTTTTTGTTTTAAATAAGTCTACCTGACATACTTTTTTTATTGCCAGACATTTTTGACAATGCTAACTATGTGCCATACGCCATTTTTTCTTTTTGTTTTATAAAAATTTCAAAGTATTTTATAATGTCTGTAATTTAAATATTATGTTATTTAAAGATAAGAAAAACTTAAAATAAATTTGCCAGACATTAATTCGATTGTTAAGTCTTGAATTAAAATTAAAAAGTCATGAAAAGTATTGCAGTATAATGCTAGTAGTCCGAGAGAGATAGTTGCAGAATAAGTCGAGAATGATACAGAGAACCATTACGAAAGTAAATTACTTTTCACTGTGCATATAATAAAAATAATAATAATAAGAATAATAATAATCATCATTCTAGTCAGTGCACGTTTCAAAAAAAATTTAAGCATAAAAAGGAATATAAAATTTATTTGTATTTTAAAATAAAATACAAATAAATAAAAATAAGAAATATATATATATATATATATTGTTTTTTATATTTTTTTTATTTATATTTATTTACTTTTTTATTTTATATATATATTTTTGTACAATTGTTATTTATATTTGATAATTAATTAAGAAAAATGAATGAATTAATTAATTAATTCTTTTATTAAATACAAAAGTCTCCAGCACTGCGAGGTTGGCAGAAGGTGAACGTTCAACGGGTCCCTAAAAAAAGTGATCGATTCAGCCCTATCAACTACCGTTCTTCCTATATTTTATTATTATTGACAAAGTGTTTAAAAACAGTATAAAGCATATTATTTCATAAATTATAAATTCTCCCACTAATGTGGGAAAACAAAAATGATTTTTTTAATGGTAACACTGATTCTAAATTACAATTATCAATGTTTTATTTCAATTATAGCCTTATTTACGATATTATCAATACAAAAACCATAAACTTACACGTGATAAGTAATTCCGCATGATTTATTATGGTTTTGTGACCTTGAATCGCATTCTTTCACTACGCATTTACCCATTTTGGCGATTGTTACTGTCATGTGTCGCTATGTTCAACTCGGTTGACGCCACATTGAACACTGAATTGACGTTTGCTACGCATATGCCTGTGGACAGATGTGCAGTAGCAACGATTTTAGGCGGTAATTACTCATCTATGTAAGTATTATATCAATGCTTAAAGGATTTTCAAAAAAATGTCGGGTGTTTTCGTGATTTGTAGATCTAAACACTGGTTTTTACATCTCCCACAGATGTCATGCAAACCATAAACATCCTTGTGTATTAGAGTTGTGTAGCTCCTGAATGAGTGATATAAAAGATATATATCATTCACGACGATAAAATGTATCACTCACTCACACTAGCTCCGAATATATCAGTAACTCAGTACTAGCTCACTAGATCATTAGATCACTAGCTCAACGACGCCGATCTTTGTTTCATGAGCGAGTGAGACTAAAGATAAATGAGTGAGATAGATGATGGTTGAGTTCACGCAAGTTTCTTTATGCAAAATGTACATTATTTCTATAGGATCAAAGTTTTATATTACTTAAGAATTAAGCCTGCCAAGTACAAGGAAAATCAAATTATGTACGATGTCTATTATACAACCTAAAAAAAGTACAAGAAATAATTTCTTTTTTTAAATATTATATAAAAGGGTGTTAATAATTATGTAATCTTATCAAAATGAATAAATTTTATTTAAAAAAAAAGGTTAAGAATGTAGTTTCAAAAACTGAATTTAGGTTAATATGAAAATAAAGAAAGGTTTGTATGGCGAGAGAGGCTTAAAGTGGCTTAAAGGCTTAGATGAAGAAATGAATTAATTGAGAGACCAATCAATTGAATCGGATCAATAAGCTAGTGAGATAAATGAGTTGGTGAGCTAAATGAGTTGGTGAGCTAAATGAGTTAGTGAGCTAAATGAGCTAGTGAGCTAGATGAGTGATATATATCTTTAGAGCGAAATGATATGTATCAATCTTTTCAGCTCAGTGATACATTTTGCGCATCACTATTGTGTATGACTGGTAATCATGTATACTTTTTCATTTTTGCCAATGACAATGCCAACATTCTCGGTGATTTCTAAACGAGATTTAAAAGTCACTTTTGACGAATTTGCTTAAAAAATATACCTATTATTTTGGCAACATTCGGCAAATAAGACTAATGTAATAAAAATATACGACAGTCATTGTACATATATAAAAAAAGTAGAAAGGACGCCAAAAACTACCACAATGTCACAAAAACAAAAGAATATACATTAAATGACTGAATTTTACATTTAAAAAACATGGCTTTAACCACAGATAATGAAACCTGAAAATGCTGTTTTTTTAATCTCTAACTTCATAAGTTGACCTCACCGACCTCACCATAAATACGATGGGTTGTTTTTTATGATAATTGATAACTCACTTACAGTATGTTTTCCCGTATTTTCTCTCTCAACTATTGAATTAGTTTTTAAGTAGCGGCAGCACACAACATAACTGTCCTCAGTCTTTGGCTCTCGTAAGAGAGTAGATATATTCTTTGGTCTTTGGTAAGAGCCCGTCCGCACAGCGATATTTCACCACACGTTTTTTTATTCCCTAAATTCTGTGGAAATAAATACCCTCCGTATCGCGTTTATTTCGTATCAATACACAGATTTTTTTCGCCCGAATGTTTTTCCGTCAGTGCGGATTTATTAGTCTTATGTAGATCTCATCTGTCACAGAATTTTGCGAAAAAGAAACGCGCGGTAAAATATCGCTGTGCGGACAATCGCCGCAAGCGGTCACCGTGACGATTGAGTAGCCGTGAAATAAACTTACACTAGGCTCTCTAGTCTCTTCAAGTGCAAGTTTATTTCACATCGACTAGCGCTCGACGGCGGGGGCGTCTAGCGCTGCGATTCGTGGAGTTTTCAGTGCGGGCCAATCGTAGCGACGAACGCGGTCACCGTGACGATCGAGTAGATGTGAAATAAACTCGCACATGGGCCTCAGCTATGCACTGGCAAAACGTTAAAATGATGTCAAGAAGGATTGGGTTCAAAAATCAGATCAAATTGTTGCTAGTTATTTAATTTAGAAAATCAAAAATTTTAGAAAGAAAGCAAAATATCCAATTTATACACAAAATCACTTGAATACGAATATTAGTTAAAATATTCTAAAAATCGATTTTATTAATGACGAGTAATTTTCAAAACAAGCCTTATTTTTTTTTTCAATAAAGGCAACTCCCACACTAGGAATATATCATACATTAAACGGACACAAAGAACACCCTGACTCAGAACAAAAATTTGTGGATCACACAAAATAGTGTCCCATGTAGGGATCGAACCTACATCACTCAGTGGGAAGCGAGGCGTGGCGCCCGCTTAAACCACTACGCCATCGGTGCAGTCATTCTCTTTTATAGTAAAGTACCCCATTGCGTTCACACTAGTGTGTAAAGTAGAACCATCACGTGAATTAACTGAAAACAATCGCAATCTAAGTCACGATTAATATTTTGCAGTTGACTCCTCTGACGGCGAAACCATTTTTAGAGCCATTATTATAAAAGTGTAATGAGAACAGACAATCTATATCAGAAGAGTTTTATAATATAGGAATTAAGATGCTACCTAAGCGCTGGCCACCAGTAGTTGAAACAACAGCAACATTATCTTTAATTAAGTTCTTTTGTCTTGTGAAAAAAATTAGTTCTAAGAATGTACAAGATAACAATTTTAGTTTTTAATAGATCTGACAAATTTGAACTAAGTATACGTAATATATTACACTTATTTTTTATATTTTAAAATCGGCTCCGCCATGATTTTATTAGCTTTTGTTACAAAATTTGTGATATCTTCTGCAGGATTGTCTGCATTGGATAACCAGACACTTGCGCTTGCGCCGTATTTAAAAGCTTCGATTACCGCGCGACCTGCTGAGTCCCCACTGAAATCAAATCAAATATAATGACTCCTTTATAATGAAAACTAGAAATAAATGTGTATTTTGTAAAACTTATTACGAGTTTAAGAGTTAATTAATATTTAAAGACTTATAAAAAAATGTAAGGTAAGCTTTAGATTACGCTTTTATTACAATGTGTAGTTTTGGAGTGGTCTAATGGTTAAGACGAAACAAGCCAAGCCTTCTTTAAAATACACAAGTTGGTTTTTAATTAATACAAATAAAATTCAAGGAAGTTCCGTAGAATATTCCACAATTTCACTATGATAAACCAGCTTTTAATAAATATAGATGAGTTTGTAATAAATATAGAGAGTACAAAATTCTAACTCTTGACTCTGGCCAATTACGAATAATAAACATATTATGGTTTCCGGTAAATGCGAGTCAGCTGTGTCCAAGGCTGCAGTAACAAAAGTAAAAGTAGAAATCCCATATGGCCGATTTGCGATGGGGTGGTGTATCGATGTTGAACCTGAGACTACACCTAAAATATGAGGGATTCGGGAACAGCTCTTATTAAGAAACCCGGACCCCGCCTAGCGCCTGCGCTGTATAACGCGAGCATCACATCAAAATTTTACGTCTTATTAACACGTAACAATTTCAAGTGATATTATTTATTTTAATAAATATTACCTTTGATTTGGATAGTCTTCCATTATCTCAATCATTTTGTGTACCATTTCTTCATCAAATGACCCTATATTCTCCTTTAAAATAATTGAGGTATCAGTCATTCCACAACAAATTGTTATGACTCGAACATCTGTTCGATTGTAGAACTCATCAGCCTAAAACAATATATTAGTAAACACATAATACATAAAACACCTTTTAAAACTATTATAAAAACCTGTTTTCCTGGTGTGTGAAGGATGTAGCCTTGTGGCCTAAAACCTACTACTGAAAAAAAATTAAATAGTTGAAATAATTACACATTATTATTATTATAAAAAGAGGCAATGAAAAAAGCAAGCGCTTTATTATAAAGGAGAACGACAGATCCTGTACCCTTTTTTTTTGTTTTCTGTGCGAAACTCCCCTCGGATACCACTCACCAGTGAGTGATTACGTCGGACTCGAACCGACCAAAAATCGCACGCCGTCTCCAGGTACCAGTAGCCGGGGAACCAGGTATACCCTAGAAAGTAAAGCCCTGGTACCAAGACGTACCTCGGGCCATCTACAGCTTGTAGATAACCTCTCCTGTGTGGGGACCCGGATGTTCCCCTCGGCCTGCTTCTGCTAGAGTGTCAGATGGCATCACCTGTCACCCTCAGGCCTGCGCTTATGAAGAACGAAAGTCGCACTTCCGGCGCCCGAGCCGTCTGCGGTACCTGGCCCGTTCTCCAGCCTGGCGAGCCGGAAGGGTTCTGAACCTGTACCCCTAGTAATATATCATACATACATAACGACGATTAAACGCAAATACCTACATAGCTAGACAAAAAAGCTAAAACACTTTGTCACCACTGTAAAATTTGAGGGTTTCCCTCAATTTGTTTAGGATCCCACCATCAGATCCAGATTTGGTGGTAATGGGACCACATCGGGCGCATACCCTTCCGATACCAAAAATAATTTTGGAAATCGGTTCACAATTGACGGAGATATCGCGTAACAAACATACAAAAAAATACAGAGGAATAACGGTATGATAACCTCTTTTGTGTTTTGGAAGTCGGTTAAAAATACTAGATATATGTTACTAGTATTTTTACGCTGATAGTATAGTGATATAAGAAAGACTTACGCCAAGACTGATACCGAATGTCAAAATAGCACTTTTGGTGGCATTGTAAACAGGAAAGCAGGGTACCACATTGAAAGCAGTTATAGATGACATGTTGATGATTGTCCCTCCATTACCGCCATTGTCTTTACGCATCAAATCCAAAGCTATCAAGCTGCCAGTAACTAGACCAGTCTGAAACATATAACATGTGACACATACTAACGTACTATATCTATACAAATAAATAAAATTGATGATTTGGAGGAGTAACTTAGGCTATTTTTCCTCTCAGAAAACCCTATGAAATTTTACCCAGTCCGGGAATCGAACCCGAGGCCTCATAGACTGCAGTCGCGTACCGTACTACACCAATGAGGCAACGCTTTTCAAATTTCACCAGATAATAATATACTATAAAGTAAAACTTTATAATGTAATTTAATTATAATGTATTATTTGCAACTAATTAATTGACTGTCTTGCTGGTCCAGTGGTTAATGGTGCTGACAGCTATATCAGATGTTAAGGGGTTCCCACCCGGGACAAATCGTTGTGATGAGCAAAATCATTTTGTAGTCTCAGTCACACATCAGTAGTCTGGTTAACATAGTACAGATTCTGCCTTGTTTGTGGTCAGACGACCGTTTGTTACATGTATTAATCAATAAAAAAAAAATACAAACAAAAACTATATTAGTAGACTTTTATGTATAGCGTAGTTTAAATCTCTATCGAAACCTCTATTAGGCATTAGAGACAAGTTTTAATAAGATTTTACCACAAAAACTATCAATACTTACTAGGTTAATATCTATTTCCTTTTTAAATGTTTGTAAACTATCATTAAATATACCGGCGTTGTTGACTACTATGTAATTTTTTGAATTGTCTGCCAACACAAGTTTAAAATTAGTTTTCAATTGTTCTTCATTTGCTACATCACAATATATAAATGTAACCTTTTTATCGCCGTAGATATCATTCAGTTCCTGTTGTAGTGCCACACCGTTTTCCTTGTCAATGTCTAAATTGAAAACTTGCTGTAAGGTGAGAAGTTTTAATCGTCAAAAAATATATTTCTCATCTGGTGATCACCAAATAATTAAAAACAAAATATACATACATACATACTTATATGATCAATTTGAATGCATTTTTTCTCTTTTTCAAAATTCGAAAACTTTGATTGAGTCGGACTCAAACATCTGCATTTTTAAAGAAAAAAAACTATATAAAAACAAAAATAAAACTAATAAGACTGAGCTGACAGTATTAGAGATGGAATACCTATCGTTCGAATTTAGTCAGTTTTGTATATTTTATTTCATAGTCCATTTTAACTTGAACTATTATTAAATGAACTTTTGTGCAGTCTGCCTACCCCTTCGTTACTATTTGTTTTCATTTTTGTATGTATGTATGCTATTTTAATAATCAAAATATAAAAAAAAAATGACTTACCTGGACACCTTCAGCTAATGCTTGTCTAGTTACGCTGGCTCCAATGCCCTTGGAAGCTCCAGTTATTAAAAGTACGTTATTTTTCCATTCAAACACCATATTTCTTATTTTTTCGGCCAATACAATCAAGTCCAGACTTCAAGTAAATCGATATACGTCTTGCACTGTTTTTATCACCAAAAATATACAAAATAGGTAATTATGATTGAGTAGTATTATAGAATTTCTTTGTTTAATGCAAGTATGTACGAGTATGTAGCTCTGCGGCACTTCGTTCGACTGCCACACTTTAGATAAAGGTTGCGATTTCCGTTGTGTTAGGCATATATGTATATATATTTTTTTGCAGAACGGCCGTTTCTACAGCAGTCTTGGTTTTAGCTCGGTGTACTTGCTATATTCCGCATTTAGCTTATCCTTGACGCTTTGATTTATTTATTTATGCAACGGATTTAATTATTATTACTATTTATATATTAGTTTCTGTTAAAAAATATTTTTATAACTTACGATAAACCGTGGTTGATTACTTATAAGTTATCTCATCGACCTATCGCCGTCCACTACTGAATGAATGATCGCCGACACTCCCGGTCTTGGACAGTCCGCATCCATCCGCTTGAATGATTTTCGCCTCTGAGATCACCATTCCGCCCGTCCAACGTGGCAAATTCCCTCATGTAATAAAAATCTATTCGATTCACTTGCTGTTAATCAGTTTAGTTTTTTTAAACTGTACAACAAGTACAATCGTTTTAATCACTATGTCCGCCCCAGCTTCAACATCAGAAGTGAGATCGGATCCGCCTTCACTTTAGGATTAAACTAGTTCTGCTAACTGCATTGAACAGGAAATATCTCGTTTCTCAGTTTTCTCTGGGGGCATGGAAGCTATTTTTTCAGAAAATAGCGAATAGATAAAATTTGCGTCCCGTTAATCCATCCAATCCCATCAAGTGGGTTTCATTTGATCTAGATGAAACAGATTCTGTCAAAATCAACTGGTATACCTAACCTAACGCAATGATCATTGAAAAAAAGAACTGTTGACCTGAATATTGCACTCACTCACTCCCTTAAAGATCGTGCTGCGACCTGCCTTACGAAGATACAGCTAGGTAAATTGCGTTGGGCTATTAAGGAAACATTGACTTCAAGCTTTTTGAAAAAGACCATTTTGATTATTAAGTTTCGCCTTGACAACAAGGAATATGGAATATGGCAGTTTACAGTTTAAATCCTTAAGGCTGATTTATGTTGATATTAATCTACATAAAAATTGTTTTACTAATAATGCTACATTTGCCGAAACATAAGCCACCCAGCCTGTGCCTGCTCTAAGTAGTGTACAAAGAAAGAAAACACTTCGAGCAGCAAGCAAATTAATCAGTGATGCACAACTTCGCGGGTCTTTAGGGACTAGTGATATGAAACTGTCATTTATTTTTGATTCAGGGTCAGTATGTAATCCTATAAAACAAAGTTACAGCAAGTTATTGATTGGTGAAAGATTTCGTGAAAGGCTTCAATAACATATTTTTTTTTGTAGAATGTAAAATGTCCAGTTTACGTTCCAAATTTTCTCCTAGATATCGACCTAACAGGTCGTGATGTAGAAATTTTAATAGGCATTTTATAAAAGTACTGATGCCATTTAATTGGTAAATTGCCGAGCTACCATCAATGTCTTAAAATAGATTTAATATATCCTAATAGGATAGTCCATATAGATCGTCCCTATAGATTGTCTACTACTGAATTAGATATTGTTAATGTCAAAAATTTGCAGGGACACCGGGAAAAAAAGTGTCCCCCAACTCAATAGTGACCAAGTAAGTTACATAGAGCTAATTTCTTCTTCACCATAGACATGGCTTCCATAATCTGGCGAAAGCTAGGTCGCCAGATTAAGGTTCACAAAGACTGTAGAAAAAACCACATTTGTTACTCTGATCAGACTCTGATAGAAAATTTGACCAAACCAACGTAAAATAGAGGCTTTAAAATCATTGCATTGTAACACATGTAAGACAATTAGTCGGTTTTGGCATTCTCTTTTTTTTAATTATAAAAGACCTTGTAATTTTTAATTGCCGCATGGAAAGGCAAAATCGTATGGATATCTAAACGTAAAAAAAATTCAAGTTCTTATTGTTTTTTTTTTTATCTTTCTGACATCTAACACACAATGCCATCTAGTTTCAAACTAAGTAGAGCTTGTACTATAAAAGATAGATTGACTGATAGAATACTTATATACTTTTTTTTTCGTAAATACATACATATTATACATAGAAAACACCCAAACTCCGCAACAAATACTTGCAGATCATACAAACATTTGGTCCGACCCGGGAATCGAACTCGAGACCTCAGCACAGCAGTCGCATACGCTCCCGCTGCACTATCGAGGCAGTCCTGCTTCACCAATAGACCTCCATACAGACGCAAGCAGTGATGGTTATGGAGCAGTCCTCATATGAAAAGTTAAAACCTGCTCCATGTAGTGGCTTGTTTTAGTCATCGAACAAATTATGCGGAAAGTCGTTTTACTCATATGAGCTTGAAACTCTATCAGTAGTTAGGTCTGTGGAACATTTTAGGTATTATCTTTATGGCCGCAGTTTTTACTGAATGCAATGCATCTTTGAAAGCTTCCCTTCAAAAAAGGACTTAACACCAAGGGTGCACAGATGGTTGACTATTCTTCAGACCTGCGATTTTGATGTAGTCTATAAGAAGAAGACAAATATTGTTCATGCCGATTTCCTATCTTGTAACTTTGCACTGGACCATCAATCTTTGACACTTAAATAAGTACCTAAAACAGTTGACTTCTAAGAATTGGAAAAGAGATGACTTTTAGTAGAACAACTACTAAATTATGAATATCATTTCGAAATTAAACTTCTAATCCATTTGAAGACGAGTTACCCGGACTAAACCTGGATGATAATGAAATCTTCTGAGGCAGACTCCCTTCAATTTAATAGAAGCAGTCTTTTTTTCTTTTTCAGTAGGCGATTTTGTGTTTTATAATCTGAATAAACCAGCCAAATTTAAATAGAAAATTTAAAGGTCCATTTAAAATAGCTACCATATTAGACAACGATGGCTACGAATTGAAACATAGCGATTCAAATTGAGCTTATAAATTTTCCCATGAAAATTTACGACAGATACCCGAGGTCCATCTGAATTGCTCGTGATCATCCAATTTTGTAGTGTGAAAATTTAAAGCGGCGGATCAATCAGATAACATTGTTCGTAAAATCGATAGCCAATCAGATAATATCGAAATCAATAATCAAACTGATAATCAATCCCAGGATAGTTTAGTTACCATCTCGGTAGTACTTAACATACCATGACCGCACATAGCGCACATACTAGCTGCGCCCAGCTCGGGAACACTACATTTTTTCGGGATAAAAAGTAACCTGTGTTAATCCAAGCTAATACTTATCTTCATACTAATTTCTTTCAAAAATTGCATAGCCGTTTGAGCGTAAAAAAGTATCAAACAGATAAACACACACCCACAAACTGTCGCCTTTATAATATTAGTATGATGATAAAGGTTATAATGAAAAACGACTTTTTATCTTTATGCTAGCTGTGGGTGAATGTTGCAGATAAGATAGCACAGCGTCAAAGAACTTAACCACAACAAAGATAGCTTTTTGTTAAATATAAATTCCTGAGGTTATTGTCACTGTTTTTCTCTTAAGGGGCACAGTGCGAGATAAAAGCTTGTCTTCCCAGGAATTGGTCTACCAAATCCAAACAGATATTCCTAATAGCCTAGAGATAACGTTTTTAAGCAAAAAAATAACTCCTTATCTTTATCATTTTAGTTCAGAAAATACTTTCGATCCGATCTGTGACAAGGACAGTTACAGAATAACTGTTTCATCTATATACCTACTTATGAAAAAAAAAAATATCCAGAGTGCGTTCTTATATTTTCAGAAGTTTTCTCTCGCAATGTCTCTAGTTCTAATACTCGCTATGATGAGCCGTTTCATTTCAGCTCTTGCCTTATTCAATTGGTCGAGTAGGTCGCAATCTAGACATACCAATTTAGTTCATCTTTAATTGATAGCTGCTGAACAGCTATCATTTACAGTGACCGTTGTAGTAATAGACAAGTAGTGGTAGGAAAATACTTTTAAAGGCTTTAGGTAACAATTAGATCTCACTACTTTTCACAGTAGAAAATCATTTGTGAGATTTACACTTTATGGTGAAGAAAACATTATTCGTACGGATTATGTCCGGAAGATACAGACCTGGACTATATTTCATTCACGTTAAGAAAATAGTGATGGATCGGTCAAACCCTGCCCCTAACTAATTAAATTCCAAAAAAATATCGTTTCGTACGGAAGCTTTGAACCTAATTGATCATGGTGCAGCGTTTATCGATGCCACACTATTTTTTCACGTATTGCTATGGATCTATACTTATGTAGTGACGGAAAGATCTGTAAACTGGAAAAGTAAATTTACGTTTTTATTACATGATTACACAGTTGGCATACTTAGACGATACGATAGTGTCTCATGTTGTTGCATCTGATTGCAGTTGCAGGTATCCACGAGCGACGGTAATCGCTTACCATCAGGTAATAAAATTCGTCCGCCCATTTACCTCATACGTGGGCTGCTATTTATATATCCGGAACTGGCCATTTACAGAGCAATATTAAAAAAGTAATTAAACTTAAAAAAATGGATCACAGATGAAGAGTACAATTATTATTTGTTTAATGTGGCTGTTATTTTTTATCCTTTGCGGCGTCATTTTGGAAATTGCGTATGTTCATGTATCACTATGGCTTAACTCGTGGAAATTTTCGTGCTATGATTTATATAGCATAAAAACGAGGGAAATCACCTTCATAAATTTCCATCATCACTTTTGTGATACCGCTATCTTCTAGTCTTATTTCAATTTTAAAGCGTTTTAAGCCGAAGTTGATCTGTTGATTATTTTTTATTAACTTGTTCATGAATATATAACTCCGTGTCTTATAAAAATAAATAATTTCTTTCCAAATGAAAAACAATATACCAAATTTAGAATTCTATGTATT